ATTCACTAAAGTTCAGAGATAATATTTTGTGGTGCATACCACTTTGGCTATAAACAGCTTCCTGGGACTTTCCACTAGCATCTACTCCACCATGAACACAGGAAGAATTCCTGTCATAAAACTCATGTCAATATGCTAGAGCTTTATTCAGCAACACATAACATTTCCTCACAAACTCCAGCCATACAAGCAGCAGACTGGGTTTCTCCACAACCATTTCTTTGCTCTACAATGTTAAATATATCAATAAACAGCATCATTGGAGGATAATTCACATGGAGGTCAGAAGGCTGATTCTTCTAGCTTGCTGCCCCCTCCCTAAGATAAACCTGAAGCCAGAGAGTGATGAACTTATTACCCCTCACAACCACCTCTTCCCAGGCGCCAGGCACTGAGGTGATCGACAAGGACCTTCTGCATGATTTCTATATCATAGGTACATGAAATACCTTATTTTAGTTGCTTATCTTGTTTCATAGTTGAAGCTATGTATACCTCCTATCAGTGTGCAATTTGGAGACTGATTATTTCCATTTCCTTCATTTGTTGCCAAAATAATAGGCATAATATAATCAAAGATTTTTTAGGAGTGGAGAGGGTTTCTCAACATTAACAGAAGGCAGTAATCTATAAACAAAAATCCTGTTTCACTCAAATATTTTGCTCATGGTAATAAAGAACACAAGAAAAAAGAATGGGCAAGCAGAGGACAAATTCTTTTCTTTTTTTTTCTATTTCAAAGATTAACTGGAGGTATCTGTTGCCCTTTGCTATATAATTAGAAAGATGCATTACTTGAAGTTAAAATTTCCAATTATTAAAAGCATGTTTTAATGAATTTATTGACCTAAATAATATTGAGAAAACACATATGCTTTTGTTGTAGGTCAAAACTCACCAGTAAAGCTCCATCATTAAATAAGCAAAAATATCTGTTTTTTCTTATACTTGACTGCAAATGTATGTTTATATAATAGTTATTGACTATGCATTATAGTGTCCTTGTTTTTAAGTACTAAGGGTCTACAATATGGAGCTTACTAGGAATGTTGTCAATGAAAGAAATAGTAGGCTTTTTTAGAGATAAATGATAAAATCAACATTAGATTATAGATCAGCAGACTAATGACTGACCAGATGGCTCCTGGTTAAGATATTAACATATTTACAGAATATGGTGCCACACAGAAGGGGCATCAGTCAATCATGTAAATACAGGAAAAGGGTACTAGTATTTGGGAAAATGGCAACAATTACAAAATGAATAGAGTACCTTAGTCATTGGACATGAAATTATTTATGTCCCACTGGCAAGGCTAGATCTTGGATTTGGAGCCATGAAGCCTCAAGTCTTTCTGATCTAAATGGAAAGCCCAACCTTATTGTGAGATAAAAACATTAGATATCCTTGCTTGTTGCCAACATTTGATTTATGTACCTATCATTGTTTTGATTCCATGCTTACCAAGAGATCTGATTCCCATATCTGTATCTCTTCTGTTTTGTAGTCCTTGTCATTTTAATACTTCACAGTAAATTAATAGAGCAAGCTTTGATTATGATCACTGAATGGCCACATATTTTGGTCACTGGGAGTCAATATATGTCAACTTTGCTGACTCAAATATTTATGGTTTGTGTGAATGTTACATTTCTCAGCACATACAAATAACTCAACCCTTTGGTATTTATCTCACATGTCATTTCATTCAGGGTCTGATGCCATTCTGAGATATCAAAAATAAAGTGTCCCTGGGGACTTCAAAATGAAGGGGCATTATAGAAGTCTTTCCTCTCTATAATACCACTTATTTACCTATATATTATATTCAAAAGTATCCATCACAAAATTGTTAGTCATTGTTTATACTTTTGATACAAAGTTTAGTAATTTGCTTAAAATCTTTCATAGCTTCCTATTGCCTTTAGGATAAATTTTTGGCTACTTAGGGTGAAATGCAAATCCCTTTATGATCTGACTCTTACATCTTCATCTCTTGACATTCTGTTGCATGTAAGAATGCTTTAGGCACATTTGCTATTCTCAATCTCTTATCTAAACCACCTGTACTTCAGGATCCAGCCCAAATATTGTCTTAAGGGAGTCATCCTGACCCTTTCTCTTTTCTCCATACAACCCTTCTTTGGAGTGCTACTTTTTGCTATCTGACAGCATTCTGTGCAATAGCATGGTGCATTGTAATTATTGATTTGTTTATCTTATTCATAAGATTACAAACTTTTTGAAGGAGCAACTCTGAATTTTATCTTGGTATGCCCTAGATGTAAGGACAGTGTTTACATATAAAGATGAAGGGAGTTTACTGAATAAATGAATAGAATAGAATAGAATAGAATAGAATAGAATAGAATAGAATAGAATAGAATTTGGCTTCCAACCCAACTCACTTTCCTTGTCACTAATTATAGTGGATTGAAATAATGGCCCAATTCCTTACCCCTTCCTGTATCTATACCCATTGCCATATACCTTTAGTAGTGTGGCTTGCACTGGATCAATGGAATGTTGGTAAATAAGATGCAAGAAGAGATGGTAGGTAGAGAAATATATGAAGCAACACCACTCTGCAGAAGAATGAATGAGTTCAGCCAAGTCCAGCCAAGCCCAGCAACATCAGCTGAATCCCACCAATGCATAATAAATGCTTATTGTTATATGATATCAAAGTTTTGGGCAGTCTATTATGCAGAATTATTATCATAATATAATATATAACTAATAACATCCATGGTCACTAGTGATCTTAATCCAGTGATACTCCCAATAAAAGCAAAGCAATTATTAGTATTAAACACTGGTATTGTAGGATAATGATTAAGATAGCATGCTCTAAAACCAGACTGCTTGGCTCTTAACACCATCTTTTCCTTGTACTAAGAGTTTGACCTTAATCAAAGTACTGATTTACAATGTGGCTCAGTTTTCTTGTCTGTAAAATGTGGAAAATAATAGCCTGAATCTCATAAGTTTTGTTATAGATATTAAATTTGTGAATACGTGTAGAATATATAGAACTGTGCCCAGAATGGAATAAATGCTCAAGAAATGTTCCCTATTGTTTTTAATGTGTAAATCAAACCTTGTTTAATGAACTTCCTAATTACCCTTTTCCTTGATAAACATTATGCTTTGTTCATCTTAGCCATGATGTATGGTTCTATATATTAATAACTATGAAGAATTATAGAATTATTTATGTTTTATCATATTTTGTTCAATAATATGTCACTTTTAAATTCAGAATTTGGTAAAACCCTAAATTGTAAAGTACATTTAGATAACTATACTAGTGGTGATAACTAGATAACTATACTAGAGATTTTCTGAGATATCCTAATAAAATATGGAAAATTAAAAGCTGAGAATGTAAAGCCTATTCATGATAAAGCTAATGTCATAACTCCAAAATCTTCTTGCTCAAGTTCATCTCCTTTCAAAGTTACGCAGAAAAAAACTCCTCATAGGTAGATTAGCCCTGACACATTCTCAATTGTTAAGGGACAGTAGAGTGACCTTAAAACCTACTGCATTTTTGTAATTTCTACCTTTTGCTGATGTTCAATCACCTCTTTTGGGTTGCTATTAGTTGGCACTGTGGAATATCTTATGGATCAAATGACAGAAAGGGCAATTCTACCCTTTCATCATGAAAACCTTTGGAGAAGGAACTCTTCGTGGTAATAATTTATCAATCTCCTTAAAGTCTTCTACCATTATGCACAAGGCTCTCTATTATGCAAAAAACTCAAGAAGTTGCTAAGGATAATATTCACCTTTGAGCAGTGGACAGGGCAGGCAAAATAAAAAATAGTAAAGCCCTTGAACTTTACCACACCCCTGCCAAGGATTTTTAAACAAGATAGGGCTTCTTAGACATCTGTATGGATTCCTCCCATAAAGCATTAGTAATGTGTCTCAGGATGCAGGAAGACCATCATCACTATCTGTAAATAAGGGAGTCAAAATGCTGACTACAACAATTGTCAGGACTTTTCATCTCTCCCCAGCATTGGCGCAATCCCTGAATGAGCTGCTTTCAATCAGTTACTGAGCACTGCCAAATTAGCGTTCCAGAGTCATTTGTAGTTTTTACCTGCTGTAGCAGTAAAAACAGCATCTTCTTGTTAGGAGAGAAATGCAAAGAATAATATGAATAGTCTGGCTCTCAGAACTTTGCATTGACATATTTTCAATTACTACTGGGTCAGAATTGTAGTGCTTCTAAACAGATAGGAATGTGAATAGAATTAATTATGATTCAAAGCTAGTACGTGAAGACACAACCTTGTGGGTAACAATTGAAGAGCTGTGTTGGAGCCATTTCCTGTTACAAATGGTGTAGAAATATGAATAACTTGTAGATTTGGCTTCAGGAACATCTTTTCCTGAAGGCCTGCTTAGGGAGATGAGAAATGAGGGTTACGTTATGGGAATATAAATTTGGCCTATGGGAAAGTCCTTCCAGCTCAAAAAATTATGGGCATCTTTACAACTTTCAAAAACCATTCTGCATACATGATAACTCACTGGAAGTGTGGAGCCAGCTGTACACACCAAAGATATATAAGACAGAGTCTTCATTTGGAAGAAGACTGAAATAACAGTACCACCTTACAACATCATGAGCACTCACAATGCTAAGGATATTCTTTCGAGACACAGAAATGAAAGTTGTCTGTACTTGGTACATTCTGCTGGCTTTCTGACAAATGATTATTGATAACAATAGATGAGAAAAGAGGCCCTGCCTGTGCTTGAGGGTGCTAAAATAGCTTGAAAATCCATGGGGGTTATTAAGCATTATTCCCATTTCCAAGATCACCCTTCAATGTGGTGAAAAATGAGTCAATTGAATAGATCATGGATGCCAACTTTTCACTCTGGGTACACTTGGGGAAGAAATCCAGGGTGGGACTAGTTCATTAATCTCCTTTAGGCCGATGACCATTACTCACAAGTCTCTGTCTGTGTTTTCCAGAAACTTCACAGAGCTCTATTTACATCAGAAGGGACATCAAGTACCTCAACACTCACTAAAAATGAAATCCTACAGCTCAGCCTGTCAACCAGCACGGAAAGTGTGTAGCTGTAAGTGAGCTTCACAAAACAAGTCACACACAAGGGAGGGAAGACAGCAAGATGCCAAAATAGCTTATGAATAGTATAAGAAAGGGGGCAGACTGAGAACCGCAGGCAACAAAACCTAAAAAGATTCACAAAAGAGAAATCTTTGGCTTAGCTCTCTAGAAGCAGACAGACAGAAAGAGAATAACAGGCCATGTTGGGTGTGCAAGGACAAGGCCAGACCTGAGATAAGACCTGTCCAGGAAGCCTGTAGCTGTGAATGCAGGGTTATATCCATCTGAACTCAGGGTTTAGAAGGACCCTGGGTTATAGATCAAACTTGGCAGCTGTTTTTGAAACTCTCACTGTCATCTTTGTCATTGTTGAATATAAAGGGCAACAAACCAAGAGTTCCAGAGGCATCTTAAATATTAAGACTATACAAATGACATTTTCAACATGAGATCACAACCATAAACACTTCAGAAAAGGTTGTTTAAATGCTCTATGTATCTCTTATTGTCATATATACTGCCACCTTCACGTAGTTAATAAAAAATGAGAAAATATATTTAAACCGAAGTTGGTATTTTCTCTTCTCTGTTACTGTATTAACTTATTGGCATCGATTTCCACATATCTGAGAAATTGAACACTTAGAAACAGTGCATGTATGAAGGGTATGATGGTGTGTTTATAGGCTGTATACACACACACACACACACACACACACACACTCTTCTAAAATCTGAGCTCGTCTAAGCCTTGTAGAATGCTCCTTGCTTTTCAAAAGATCATAGAGTACTTAATCTCTATTCATGTGAAACAAGAAGCAGCGTTCTTCTTATTTTATTCTGAAGCCATCTTTAATGCCAAAGATGAATCTGGATATGGGGGAAGTTGACATTTATTCAGAATTATTATTCAATCAAAGTTCTATTTTCTTCTTACGATGATTTCATTTTTCAGAGTAGTTTTAATGTGAAGCTTGTGATCAGGATTTTCTTCTTAAACAATTGGTGCTACCATCTGTGTCACCTGAGGCTCCTTTTTGTAGATTATTATGCATTGTAGCCTCATGTAATGTGACACAATGAAAATATAAATAATTTGAGTCTTGTTTTGCTGGGAGAAAACACTCCAGACAGTTATGTGGTGCCAGAGTACTGATTCCAAAGCAGACAAGGCAAGTAATCTCCTTCCCACAAAAACATGCCACTTTTTTTTTTCATTCTCTTTTTAAAATTATTTGATTAATTAGATTGGAGAGCCATATCACAGACATTTTCTAGGGTATGAGACCTATGTGTTTGGGATCTTCCCACTATGCTGATGAAGCACCATTCACCTAGGCTGAGCAGTTGGAGTTTAGAACAACCCTAGGGCATTCTCAATTTCTGTTACACCTCGTTTATTCTTTCTCTTTGTTCTCTTCCATTCAGAGAAAGGTGTGTGCTAATGCCAACTTGTTCGAAATGTACCCAGCAGGAGGAGGATGTGAGCTGCTTCGGCTCTTTAAAATAATTCTGGCTTATTTGCCCACTGCTTTAGATAACAATTAGAGGATAGATTTTCCCTAACACCAGGGGCCCACTCTTCAACTGGCTTAGGTTAGAAATTATGTTGCTCACTAAAAACCTATAGACTTTGATGGTTTGCCCCAACTCTCTCAGAGTTAGCTCTTAGATTCTTCCACTCATGGCCAGTAGAAATGATTTTTGGCTATTCTTTCTGCAACAAAGCTGTCTTCAAGAGAACCAGATACATCAGAGAAAGACTCTGTAATGTCACGTTTGGAGAATGCTGGATTCCATCATGAGTTGTACTTTCTGCTCTCCTGCCATAGCAGATGCTCTATGGCCTTTACTTCTTGGAATATCCTCAAAACAAAAGGGAGTGATGAGCCAAGCTAATATTTAGGTAGTATTTTTTAACTTAATTTTCAGAACGTATCATCAGGAGGGGAGTGATAATAAGTTAACCTCCTCACAAAAATTTCTTTGTCTCAAAGCTCATATTTAGCTTATCGACCAATCCAGGTTATCCAGGTTAGCTGCTTTTGATTCATTATTTTTGTTTTAACATGTTTGTGCTCTCACTAGAACACAAACACAGTTTTTTGAGATGCGGGAAGCATTTAGTGGTGATGGAAAGAGGACCCTTCTAATGCCCCCTTATGGCAGGAAAACCATCCTGAAACATTCATTCTCCTCCTCCATATAGTTCTCCTTTCATACTCATAAAAGAGCCGTATTTTAAGTAGCAGGGCTTAGGACAAAGCACCAATGAACACCAGGGATTTTGACTTTCTACATGCTTATTACTTAGAAAGGTTGATTAACTATGTTTTACTCAATTAACCACAGATGTGCCCTCGTGCACCATTAGTTTGTAATTTCCCTGATTGATTCTGAGGCGTGATCTTTGCTCACAGTCAAGTCAGATGTAGGCTTTGTTAGTGATTTTGATAGAATGACCTCAAGAAGCTCGATTTTTACAGCTTTGATATGAAAAAGTCCAAGAAGCTTGCCCAGGCCTCTCTGCTTACCTAATTATATTTTTATAATTTATTTTACCAATTGACTTCTAGCCAGGCCAGGTTATGTTTAATCTGGATGTGGTTGCACAGACTTGCAGGAGAGGGGAAAATGTCCCAGCCCATTATCTTCTATTCTTGCTTTATCAGACCTGTTTTCTGGAAGTATATGCAAATTATGATTCTCAGACATTCTCTTTGAAAACCATACTTTCCTTTCTCTCCCCTTTTCTGAATCATTTTATTAGTATAGGGTGAATTATCTGTTTCCTGTCTTCTGGCAACTGATGCTGGGGATTTCACCATTACCTGCTCATTTTGCTATCATAAGCACTGCCTTTCCAAATCTATCCAAAACTCGTTATTATTTTGGTAACATGAGACTTTAAATAGAAGATTAGGTTAAGAGAAAGCTCCAATAGATAGAGCAATCAGATTAATTTAGAATTCTCAATTACCTTAACTTTAGTACTTTACTAATAAAACAGCCTAGTATAATAGAAATAATTCTGATACAGATTTTATTCCTGGTAATATTTTTCAAATCAGTCGCAACACCTACAACCTCCTTTTTTCTCTGCTCCTGGAAGAAAGATAACAATAGAAGGTCAAAGTAGGTAAAGATATGGTAATATTTTTGTCATGAGGCAGAATAAAGACTGGAGATAGGAATTAAGCTAAGTGGTGGAAAAAGAAAATTTTCTATTTTTTTTAACACCTGAGTTGGTGGACTATGAGATTCAAATTTACTATGCTAGTTTCTGTTATATTCTGTTGTAACTGTCCTTATAAACATTTGTTATAGGAGTTCATCTCCTCCTAGTTTACACAGGCATTCATTCTAGAATGCAGATAACTCTGGGAATTGGAAAATAAAAACTCCTTCCCCACTCTGATACATTTCCTGATGTAGATTTTGCAGAGGAAAAAAAAAAAGATGTTGGAATGCAGGAAGTATTCATAACATGTGTGGTCTACTGACGGGCTAAGATAGATATTCCCTGTCTACGTCTCTCGGAGGAGGGGCGTGGGCACAGAGTGAGAGGGGAGGAATGCGGTCCTGAAGGCAAACTTTATGTAGTATATAATTTTACCTAGAGTTCAGACTTTTCAGAGTTTTTCTCAGTCCATTTAGCAGGCAATTTATAGTCCATGGTCAGGTGAGTAAATACTTTTATGCAGATATCTTATATTTACTTTTTAAATTTTGCCATTTTAAGCCTTGCTTCAGTATTACAGATTTTGTGGATGTTGTCACTAGAGTAAAATGTCAGAGTATACAGATATGTGGAGGTTGTAAAAACATAGTGATGGCACTGTGTAAGCTGGAGGCCAGGAGTTCAAGGCTATATAGTGTGTTACAATCATGCCTGTGCATAGCCACGTGGCACTCCAGCCTGGCAACATAGTGACACCTCTGTCTTACAAAAAAAAAAAAAAAAAAAAGAGTAGGGGCACTCACCTCACTTGCATTATTTAGGATGCTTTCAGTTATAAGTTAAATATAGTTGAACTCAAACACCAAAAGGTAATATAAAAATTCATGTATGCATTAGGTTTAACATTAGCTTTAATCTGGTCACACAACCTAATTATCAAGGACCCAGTCAGGTTTATATCTCTACCCTGTTTCTAAGATATTATCCCCACCCTCCCATTGTTTCCCCCAGGGTCACATAAAAGGTGCTAGCAGATCTCAGGGCCAAATGCTTACAACAGGAGAAAAAAGATCTTTGTCCCAGAATTTCCAGCAAATGTCGTGGTGGCTCCTTTAATTGGTCCAGAGCAACTTTCTGATTTTTGCACTAATTGGTCCAGTCCGGGTTGTGTGTCCTTTAAGCAATCTCTATATGCAGGAAGTTTAATTTAAAAATGGGCTTAACAGAGATTGTGTCCTCTAACCCTGAACAATTCCAGCCTCACCTGAAAAACATGGACAAAGAGTAGGGTTGCAGGATTCCCTCAAAATCATAATTGTTTGCTCTAGCCTCGTGGAAAGGGGAGTAGTTGCTAGAAAGAAAACAACAACCATAGACTATATCATTTTTTAAGGAACACTGGTTTAGAAACGATATATGTATATTATATAGATAGAAATTAAATTAAAATATATGTAATATATATGCATGTGCATATATGTTTGCAGATCTATTAATACATTGTGTGTGTGTGTATTAAACAAAGGTGATGGAGAACTTGAGATGGTAGCTTTTTATCTAAAGAAAAATAGAGCCGAAGGAATATTGTTGTAAATTAGAACATGTTCAGCCTTTGGAACAGAGTCATAGAGATTTAGTTTCATACAGTCTAAAGATTGAACACTAGAAAACTAGAAGACTCCAGTTTTTAAAACCTCTTTACTTACACTGAGTGAAATCTTCCTTTCTAAATTTCACCAAATCATTTTCCCTGGTTCTGCCATTTGAAACTATTCATGATAAGAAAATGTGACAGTCTCTCAAACATTTGCAGTTAGTTGTAAATAATAACCACAATAACACTGCCTTATATTTGGGTAGTGCTTTAACATTTTCAAACTCTTGCTACATTCATATTTTATCTATAATAAGTATATACAATTAGAGAAGTTAATAAAATTAGAGTTTTTTGGCAGCACATGATAGATCCCAATTTCAAAGATGAGGTATAAAAGGAGGAATGTTCTGGCTAGTGATTCCAGCGAAAAGTTGAACCACCAAGCAACAGGCATTGCAGGACATAGCTGACCTCAGAATGATTTGGCTATCAGAACACATGACTCACTATTTCTTAGCTGTATTTCTCTGTTTATCAGCTTCTTTCTTATTGCAGGCTGCCTTTCTTTGTTTGGCAGTAGCTATGGTCAATAGCAGCTTCTTAGCTGTCATCTGCCGGCTTTGGCTATTGAAGACCATCTAACCTCTCTGGTTGACAAAGCCCAGTGACGGGCCTAACGGACTAACTAGGATCAGGCTCCTTCACCTGCAACAGCCAAGTGTAAGTAGACAGAGCATTGCAGCTCCCATATGGATGGTGAATAGTTTCTAGGAAAGGCTGCTGGAAAAACAGTCACATAACAATTGTATCAATCCAAGTTTACGGATGAGAAAGTGGAGACTCAGAGATATCAGGCAATTTATGTAAGACATGATCTCATGCAATTGATAGGTCAAGAACTTCAGTCCAGGCATCTCATACCATGTCTTTTTTGTCTTTCCCCAGAGGGCTCTCTTTTTTAAGCAGTTTTTAGATAAGTACCCTTAATATAATCTTTCAATTACACTTTTCTGTGAGTGTTCAATTTATGAATATTTTGGCACCCATAATTTAGAACAAGGAAATTGCATAATATAAAACAAGGAAAACCAAGGAAAAGCAATCCACATATTCTGCTTAATGTTATTAATGTATACTTCAGTTAAGTCCCATTAGTTATTCTGGACATCTCTGCTGTAATCTAAAACCCCTCTATATTTTTCACTTGGAGATCTGTTAGACAGGATTCACTAATCTTATACTTAAAAAGATAAATCTCTTTGATATTTCATGTTTTATGTTTTGATCCACTTTTTCTTTAAGGTTCTCAAAATTTCTGAAAGCCTTATTTTGTCAGTCACTGTATGTTACTACCATATTTTGAACACAAACATCTGTATACATGATCTGGGAAAGTTTGTGCTGCTTCTACATATTAAGGTTTCCTATATGAAACATCAATATATTAAGGTTTCCTGTATGAATCTAAAATAATTGAACAAAGACAAGTAGTTTCCCTCTTATTCTCTACTTATGATTTCACCCTTTGGAGCCATGAAAAATAATAGATTTCACTAAACAACATGAATCAGAAAGTTGGGTTTGACTCTGTGCTTTGCAAGACTGCTTTGTTCCCTAATGAAACCACATACATGATGGTTTAGGGGAAATGGGAAATTATTATATAACATAAATGTAAAGACAAATGGCAGGACTGACTTCAGGCATAAGTGGAACCATGTGCCCAAGTGACACCCCTCGACACTACCTCTCTCTTCACCTGCTTCATTTCTCTTCTGAGTTGACTTTATTCTCAGGCAGGTGTTCTCCATATTGCAGGGCTTTAGGAACCCCTAGTGGAAATCAACTGCATTTTTCACCTTTCAAAATTAAGAAAAATTTCATGAGTATCTAACAATCATTTGAAAAGCAAATATCATACTTTTGTGTTGAAAAAGAGGAAGTCTATTGCCTGAAAAGAATGTGACTCTGAGTTATGAGGAGTTTATGAAAGTTCATCCAGCTTGGGAACAGGAGAGCTCAAACCAGGACTTCACCTTCATACCTCATTTTAGTTTCATATGCAACATTTTCTAAGAATGTCTTGTAAGAGCTATACAAATTCTCAATCTGTGTGTGTTTCTTGGATAAGACATGCATATATCTTCCCCCAAACTTACTTATATTTATAATTGTAAATAAAATAAAATCTTACCAACTTTATTCATCTTGTTTCTCTTTACATTTCTATAGTCACAAAGTTGTTGTTTTTGGTTTTTTTGGTTTTTTTCTTTTGTTGGTATAAAAATCTCCTAAGTTGAATGTCCTATTTTGTTTATTGTCCATGAATAATAATTAATGTGCTTGAATTATATAAGAAGGTATATACCTTGCTCCTGCCATATTTTAAAAGATATGTTCACTTTCAGTCAATATTTGCATAACTAAGAATTAAACACCTAGCAACTTTATTTAGGTCTTAAATGATTTTCCTTTAAAATACAACTATAAAAGAACAAAGAGTATTAGTTAAGATTCTTTTGGTTTCAAGTGTTCAAAAAATAGGCAACAATGAATGGCTTCTAGGCTGTCTCAGAGACTGGGAAGGTAAGAGCACTCAGCCTCAGAAATAACTGGAATCAGCAGCGAAGTTCCCTATGTACTCTATCCACCTGCTTCAATCCTCTCTCTCCATCTATCATTCATACTTCTCCACTTCTCCAGTCCCCATAAAGAGAAAATGTGGTTACTGCTAACTTACAAACTTTATATATACTATAGCTTTATCCACTGGAGAGAGACCTGTTCTTCTTTTTTGCAGTTTTATAACCTTTAGGGAAAGATTCTTGTTAGTTCATTTTGGGCCAGGGACTCATCCTGTCGATGAGAAGTTGGAATTTGAAAAGTACTTTATTTCTGCTTTTGTCAGATGTTTATGCCAATTGGGTCAGATGCCCAGTTGTGGTCGGTAGCTAGTACTACATCATACTAAAAAGTTGTTTCTGTAGTTACCATGTATATAGAGGAAGAACTGTCTTTAAGAAAAGAGGGTTCTACATTATCCAATCCACTAGGTCATGGATTTTCTCATAGCCAGTGCTAACTTTAGGATGTTGTTCAAGTACTCATTAAAATTTTAACACAATATTTTTAACAAACAAAATTTTAACACAATACAGTATCCTAGCAATAACTGTATTTTATTCTTCAACATTATTGCTAATTATAACTCTCTTACTAATTTTATTTCTTTTTATCCTCTTGAATATAGTTAGCATTGAAAATAAATATATTTTAACGAGACTAAAGGAATAGCAATGATTATAAAATTAAACAGCTATGCGTGATATATCACAAAAACATGTAGGCTTTGGAAGTAGTGCATGTTAGACATTTGTTTTGTAAAGGGCATGCTTGAGGTGGAGAGGATTCTAATGATCTAATGACAGACTCATGTGCATAGCTTCTATTTTATATTTCTCAAAGGGCTTTTATTATTATCCTTTGTGATCTCTAAGATTCCTATAACAAAAGCTAAAGTAACTAATTTTTATAATTATAAAGGAATAGTTCATTTTAGAAGCCAGTTGAAATCATTTATCAGGTAAAACTTTTCCAGAAAATTCAGCACTCCAAAGAGATACTGCTAGAAGACACAGGAACACCATCTAGTTACAATTAGGTAATCACAAAGAAAAAGATTAAATTTTAGGAAAAAAATTGCCATTTGCTTTTTTATGCATTGTTCTTCCATAAGAGCACAAATACATCTGAGTAGCTTATTAAACTGAAAATCATTTCAATAGGTGGATTAGTCAGAATTGGTAAGAAACTAAATTCAGGCCAGTCATAAAAATTTACTAAAGCTTGCCATCTAGAGGTTTACAGGGGTATATTTGGAAAGTACTTTCATATGCATATTCTATAATCTGAAGTCCTGACATTTATGTTTAACATATTAAATGAAATGAAAACTAAGAGAAAGAATATTCCTTTTATTAGTGAACCTACACATAACACTGTTAATTTTGAACTTTTAATCTTAAGTAAATGCATGTTAGCTTCTATTTTTTACTTATACAATCATTTTGGTAAATACATCATAAGAAATCTTTTAGGCAATCTGGCATACAAATTTCTTCACACTATATGAGAGAAAGAAAAACAATACATTAGAGGTTGGTAAATGTACCATGGTGCATTTAATGATTAACATTTTCTTGACTATCAAGACTGATTGAGAGTTATTTGCATTCCTGGTGAGTACTGCTGTTTGATGGATGGAAAAAGAAAGTTGTTCATGTTAAATAACTTCAGGAACATGGAAAACAAAATTCCCTGATAATAAAAGAAAAAGGCATCAATCAAAAACTGAATTTTAAGGCCTGGTACTTACATATATATGTAATCTATTTGTGTGTGTGTGTGTGTGTGTGTGTGTATGTGTGTGTTTATATAAACAATGTGAATTCATGATTTTTTTTTTGGTACTTCAAGTAGTTGTAATGCATAGATCATTACTACAATAGATTACACAGTGGGAGCATTTATCAAGCCTGGAATTGTGTTTTCATGAATGTTTTACAGTTGTCAGCTCATCAAGGCTAAAACAGAGGATAATGAGCTTTAAAATGTAGGTTATGGGGGCACAATAGAATCTACTTCTAATGGAAACTTTCCAATCAACTGAGTTAAAGGTTAGGAACTTTTAATTCTCACTATGTCACAGGGTGATGGTTTTGGCAGCAAGACAGACAAGATGTTATGGTTGCTGCCATTATTCATGCTTTACTTTGTCAGGAGGAGGTGGTGAACATTCTTTGTGATCTGGGCAAACATGTTCAATTTTAACAGCAGTAGAAACCACTTAAAGAGAATTTAATTTTTTTATTATTTCTATGCCAGACCAATATTAGATCATTTCACATCTTCCATTTTAAGAGACTTTCTTATTTAAGGTGTACTTTAGAATTAAAATCAACATTTGAGGGAGGGTGTCGCCTCCTTAAATGTGCATGTTTATGCATGATTTGAGGATGCTAAGATGCATTCTGGCGTCAGAATTCCTACATTTGAGGAAAAGCATTTCTTAGAAATGGGAAATTGTTACAATAAAAATGACTTTACCTAGTACAGATAAATATACCATTGTAATTAAATATCTCTCGTAATGCTGTAAGGTACTTGGTGTTCTTACACTGACCTCCAGGAAAAGAATGTCTACATATTATGATATAATTTTAGCATTTGTTTTTTAAAAATAGTATAGTTCCTATGAATACAATGCATTCGGTTAATAAAATATCAAATGCAATTTACTGACAAATGTTATGCCAACAGTGGTGAGTTCCGCCTCTTTATCTAGAGACCTCTTATCTTGAAATCAATTTAAAAGCAGTAATAACGTTGAGGAGATAATTCAATCTCTGTGCTCATCAGTGTTTGGGGACTATGTGAACCATGGCTACCCAAGGTGGTTTGTTCATTATGCACCATTCATAGCCTACTAAATAATGGCAAATATTTTATGTTAATAGTATCAAGGTCTTATGATAAGGAAAAAGGGTTGTGAGTGTTGCCTGAAGGAAAGACACTTCTTGAACTTAAACCAAGTCCTCTATGGTCAAAACATGCAGCTTATCATAGGAAGAGCTCCTTTTTACATCATAAGGGGGTGTGAGATCTTTTTGACTACAGAGCACATCTTACCACTGTGATTGTAATTATGTATGCATATGTTTGTATACACATGTGTGCATATGTGTTTGTTGAGTGGGCTGATGTGCTGCTTTGTCTTCAAAGGTAGCGTTCATGTATTTCAATGGTTGTATTACACATTCATATTGTTGCCTTAGCAAGGGGGGGTAATTCATTTTATTTTGAAAATGGAATTCACAAATAAACGTCTCATACATTTAGCTGCTCTTAAGTCTCATACATTTAAGTGCTTAAAGAGATTTTCTCAGCCAAGCATCATGGTTAATTGCCTGGCTTTGGAGTTGTACCACTTAGGTTTACATTCCAGATCCCCTATCTGCTTAGCTCTGTAACTTTGGATAAGTTACCTAAAACATTTTTTGTGGTACAATTATCTATGATGCATACAGGGATAATAATTGCACATACCCTTTAGGATTATTGTGAGAAAAGAACTGCTGAAAATGAATAAGGGGTCAATAAATGTTCACTATTAGAATGATATTTATTCATCAGTCAATAGCCTTGAAACCTACCACTGTGGTTTGTTTCCCAGTCAACAACATCTTGATTACTCTTTCTGAAAAAAGACTTAGGTAAAAACCAACACTTGCATTTTGCAAGAAGGTTTTGAGGCCTTTGAAAGGCAAGCTGAGTTTCAATGTGCCAGTTTTCTAAAGTAATTTCTACAGTGTATGCTTTTCTAAAGATCTAAATGT